TTTCTTTTATTTGTTTTGGTATTTATTACATATTTAACATTGTTGTCAGAATAATTTAATTTGCATCATGTTAGGTTTGAACATTCTGAAATGCTATATATAAATTTTTAAAGAATATCATGTAGTTTGAATATTCCAGTTTGGAATGTACCATTAGATTTTAGAATAGTTTGAAAACCTTGTCCCTTAAAGAGGCTGAAAACATTTGTCCTATTAAAAAGTTATGCTGAAAAGAGTGCAGAAAGTATGAAGTTGTTTATTACAAAGTGTTCATAATAATGCCTTCATTTCATGTGCTCATTGTAAACAATTAATTAGTCTTAAAAATTGTATTTTTTCTTTACATTTACATTAAACCATAAAAAAGAAAAACCTTCAGCAGAATTAATCCCTTGATATTTCCATTCTGGCCAAAATGTTACCAATGGTATGAAGCACATCCAGGAAATAAAGAACACTTGGTTATAAAAAATAAAAAAACAGTAATGATAGGAAAGGGTTTTATTAAGTAATTAGTACAAGACCAGTTATTTTTCTACATAGTCACCATTATGATTTAAGCACTTATCATAGCGTGGCATTAGTTTTTGGATTCCTTCGTCATAGACTTTTACCTCCAGTTCTTTCAGTCAGTTAGTGACAGCTTCTTTTACCTTGTCATTCATTCTAAAATGTTTGCTACCCAAAAAGTCTTTCAGCTTGGGAAGAGATGAAAAGTCACTGGAGGCTAGGTTGTTGAAAATGTTCAGCAAAATTTCTGAAGTACAGCTAGAGTGGCTGCAGCAGTGTGTTGTCACATGTTATCTTCTTTGATTAAACGTCAAACACTATTTTCTCATACTTGCTTCATTCATATTGTGATCACAATACACTTATGTGATTTGCTTATGAATTTCTATAGGATGAACTTTCATTGCATTTAGAAAACAAATAACACTTCACATTTGGCAGGATTTTTTATTTTTATACACATTTTAACCCTTGTCAAAACAATAACAATAAGCCTGCTGTTATCGAAACATCTATGCTTGCTAAGCTAACACATCAGAGGACAAATTAATCTTCAATCAATGGCGGTCATTCACTTTCATAAAGTGCTATGTGCAAATATTCTTTATTTTCTGACCACCTCTTGTATTTTTCTATAAGAATTACATAAGAACATTTTAGAACCCTATTTCTTATGAATGACTGACCTGACAGATGAAAGAAAAAATATGCATTGTCTTATTTTTCTCCCTAATGAATGATATATATTTTATTAAAATGATATGAGAAAACCCTTCCTTGTGAGTATCTTTCTTAATTGGGTTCACCTCTCACTTACAACTTTCCTGTATTTTTGTCATTAGTTCTTCTCAATGTTTATTGAGTAATTTTTTTAATATCTGTATTATTGAAGTATTTAACATTGATCCTAGGTGTTTTATGCAACCTTCATCTAGTTTTATAATTGATTTTTACTCTGAGTCTGTAAATTAATAGAAAATGATTGCTGTTGCACTCCATTTCTCTGAAACACACCTTACTTGATATATTCATTTCTGATAGATTATGTAATGATAAATAAGATATCTTATTTGCCCTCTGACCATTGAGAGACAACCAGGTTTATTTATGAGCATTTTTAGACCTTTATACTGTTCACAGTCCATGGGAGATTGCTATATTAATCATTCTGTTTCCTTTATTATTTGCACTCATGTCACTTATCTGTGTTTATGTTAAAATCTTTGAACTATGGTAAGATGTCGTCCTATTAATTGTTTTACCCTGAGTGTCATAGAACTTATCCTTTATGTTTCCACTGTCAGTGTATATGTATAAACTATTATTAGGTTGTTTAAAGGTGTTGATTTTTATTTTATTGTGTGGTTCCAGTAAGAAAGTATTTTATTTATTATTAGGTTCATTCATATTCCTCAAATTCTTAGCTCACCAATATGTTCATTTATAAATTTAATATCCAGAACAAAATTTCAAATATTTTTTTAAAGTAAAATTTGTTTCAAATTCATGTTTGTACCAGCATGATGTACACATCAAATATTCTATGATTCTTTTCTTCCAGAATACTCTAAATTATTTAATTTAATTATAATTATTAAATTTAATAAGAGATGGCAACTAACACCTCCCTCTAGTGACAAATTATTTAGTAATTAATTTTAAATAATTGTGACATAATAGCTCAATATAATTCGGTAGTTGTTGGCTTATTACTTATGTAATATACATCAGGTTTGTAGATATTGGTTTATGTATATAGTCTATGATCTTATCTGTGTCCATCTTTTCAAGTCAAGATCATCTGTTTAGAACATAATAACACAAATTTGTTAAAATAAATCATATACAGTAAAATCTAAATCAGAAACTGAATAAAATGGAAACCTGTCTAAACTGAAAAATTCTTCAACTGAGTGATTTCTTATGTTATAAAAAAACCCACTTAAATGGAAACTTGTCGAATAGGAAAAAATATTCAGGACTGTGCTATTTCAATTTACACAGGTTTTACTGTGTAATATTTAGTAGTATAGTATAATAATACTATATATTATTTTATGTAATTAGTAAAACAGATTTTTTAAAAATCATTTATCAAAATTAAAAAATTTCGCTTGATAGACGTCAGTGTTAGTCAATAAAAATAGTGTAATGATGCTCCCCTGGAGATTCTATAGAAGCTCTGAATTGTTAGTAATCAGAACTTTCTTCTAAAAAAAATATATCTTTTAGAGGCCCTCAAGAGTCTTTAGGGCCCCTTTAGAGGACATCCTTCTAAATTTGACTCATTTAATTGAAAATCTTTATCCGAGATGCTTATCTAAACAGGATATTAATGAATCCCTCTAAGTCGGACACGCTGGTGTGTCCGACTTAGGGAGGTTTACTGTAATCAGAATATTTGTATATGACATTTATTAATTCAAAAAATTAACTTTCTAAGGATATTCTTGCATTGAACTTTACGAATTTTTCTCCAAAAATTTAATTTTTTAGATAATTAGTATAAAATTCTATGATTAAAAGTATATATTTTTTATTATAAAAAGCAAAAAAGAGATTTTTATCCATTTTAAACGTTCATCTTTAGGATAATTATACCACATCGTTGGAGTTTGGAAGAGAGTGATAATGGTTTTTCAATGGATATCTTTATTTTTTAAGAGAATTTTTAAAGATTTTTTTTAGTTTGAATGATGGAACTGGCTAAGATATCTTGTACAATTTTGAAGTTAATTATTTGCATTGAATAATTACAGTAATTTTTGTTTGTTTTATGGAACTATTTTAAAAAATCTGTACTATATATACACATCTATTATTTAAATTTTTAAAAGTACTGTATTTAAAGAAATTTTAATACTTATCTATATTTCATTCACAGAAGACCACAGCCAGGGTGCCTACGATGCTCCAGTTGGTTCAGATTAAAAGACTTAGAATCCTCCTACGTCACGACTTTCGCAGTGATTCTGTATCCCACTTTNAAAAAAGTCGAATTTTCAAGAAGTATGACAGCTTAAATTTTTTTTAAGCTACAAAACGTATAGAATAATAATTAATATTAAGAAGAAAGTATGTTTAATTAATCTAAAAACCTAATTAAACAAAATTAATGAGCAGCAACAAGAGTTTTTTAAGAATGAAATCCAAAAAAAAATGCTACTAAAAATACAAAATTTAAAGCGAAAAATTCTAAAAAAAATGGATTATGTGAAACGTACAAAAGTGTTCTATTTTTATTTTATAAAGGAATTTTTTAAAATATTCTTCAAAAAAATAGAATTTTGGAAGCTTCTTGGAGACGAAAACCAAAAAATTTAAAGTGGAAGATAGAAAAAAACCCGTAACAGGATACGTTGTATACAAGAAGAAAAAGAGCATAAAAATGGTAAAAAAAGTCAAGAATAGAAAAGGAGACAGTTTCAAAAAAAGGAACGACAAATAGTTCGTTAATTAGAAGTTTGGGAAAATTCATCTCTTGTAAGCAGACTCCGCTTCCTCGCTAACAATGTGACCTCCGACTGAGGTGGCTCACAACACGTATCAAAAGTTGTATTCAAAACCACCTTTACAGGACTGTATACCTGTCAGTCTTATCTTCTATGTAAACTGTTCATTATTGTGTGAATATCTGTCCCCGATCATCCTCTCTTTGTACTTTTGGAGGTCGGCCACCTCGCTGTCACTAACGAAAGACATCCGGAAACTAACGATACCCGATTCAAAATGGCTGTTGAAACAGGCCTATAGTCAGTTGCCGACTTTGGGCATTTCCTTTTTTTTCTGCCTTTTTTTTTTTTTTATTCTTCTTTGGGTATTCAAAGTGTTGGTTCACTGTTCGGGTCTTGAATCTATTGCCTATTTACACAGCAGTCGCTGGTTCTGTCTTTATCACTTCACCGATATCTTACGAAAAAACCTTCACACGACACATCGTAAATACGAAATAAACATTTTAAATAAATAATACTTCTCGTTTTTCGATAAACGATATCGTCAATATTTAGATTTTGAAACCTTTAAATAATTAACCGAAACATTAATTAATCATATGTAAATTTTACAATCTTCCTTAGCATAAAGTACCTAATCATTAGGGTCTTCCTTAGCACGAAGTATCTAATGATTATGTACTTTATGATCTTTCTTATCACGAGTATCTAATCATTAGGTGTTTTTCTTAGTATAAAGTAACCAATCATCGGGGTCTTTCTTAGCATAAAGTACTTAATCACTAGGGTTTTTCTTATTATATAGTACCTAATCATTAGGATCTTAGCGTGAAGTATCTACTCATTAATGTCTTTCCTTACTATAAAGTATCAGTTTATGAAGATCTAGAAAAAAATAATCATACTTTATTTAGTAATTAATTTTAATTTAATAATTTTGCTGATTTTTATTCATTATTTTATTTATATAATTATTTTTTTCGCTGTCATTTATGTCTGTCATAAGACGTTCTCATGTCGTTGCTTCACCCTTAGGTAATCATCCGGGTCTCGGTGGAGTAGGTACAACTTTTCCAGTTCCTGCGACGTTTCCTTGGGCTGCAGCAGCTCGAGGTAAGCCCAGACGAGGAATGATGCGAAGAGCAGTCTTCTCCGATGCACAACGACAGGGTTTAGAGAAGAGGTTTCAAATACAAAAGTACATCAGCAAACCCGACAGGAAGAAATTAGCTGAAAAATTGGGACTTAAAGACTCGCAGGTACAGAAAGAATATGTTACGTTTCAATTGATTTTGTTTCAGATGCACACGAAATACCACCCATCCGAATAACACCAGAAACACAACATACCAATGGATTTGCGATGGAATTTCAAAAAATCAAAATATATTAATAACGTTTTAGAAAAATTATTGCATTTTTGTATTTATAAGTGAGCGCCTTCACACATTAAACAATTACTCTTCTAAAAATTGCTTGTATTGATGGAAAGAACCCCTCTGCTAACGTAAAAATAATTAATTTCCGTACATCTAGAACCTAATTCTTTCATAATCATATCCTAACTTGAGCATAAATAATTTTTAAAAGAATTACTGCCACTTTTTAGACATCTAGTGCAAACAATCCTTCAAAAATCTACTAGTTACACTCAAGTTAATATTAATGAAAAGCGCTTAGTTGAGGATTTATAAATAATAATTCTTCTAAAATTGTTAATTCATTTTCTATGTAAAAGGAAGTTGTCGTCATCGAGCGTAAGTCCACTTTGACCTTTTCGAAAAATCCCAAAATAGAAATGATAAGTGGATAAAGAAAAAAGGGAATCAGAAAGTGGAGTTTCGAAAATTGGCATGATATTTTTTTACTATTTTTAACCAAAACAAAGAAGAAAAAAAAATCATCATCTATCTATATTTCATTCACAGAAGACCAAAATCGGCTTAGTATGTAATGACGTCTATTAGAATAGAATGAAGCCATTAGAAACGAAGTCAAAGAGTGGCCAAGAACAGCTGACGATCTACACAGAATTTTCTAGTCGCACCAATCAATTCGCCAAACAGCTAACGGTCCCGTTATGAATGCGTGTAAGACGGCATAAAGAGAGGCATTGTATATGCTAATATAACAATTTGTTGGCAAACATATTGCAAAGCGGCATTCGGATCAATGACACAATTCTAGCTTCCGAGCCACCATAGCGCGTGCGTCAATCAATGCCTCGGTCCACTAATGTCGGTTCGAGGTGGTGATTGGTCGCAGCTGGCGCGTCGTTTGTATTCAAGATATTCAGTTTGCTCGCGCTGCCAGGTTGTGGGTTTGTCAGAAGCGAAGCGAGACAGTATCTAGTTTAGCATGCATGACGCAATTCCCAAGGACACAGATGATTTTTCATTTAGTTCTCTTTGGCCAGGGTAAAGCGAAGCTTTGGCGTCAGGTTGGCCCGATTACCGCACGTCCCCACCACCGTCAGCTGTGACACAGTACAGGTCATTTGTCCCCCCGTTCCTAGTCGTTGCTAAGTCTCTGGCTCTGGTTGTTGTAGACCCTCTAAAACCGCACCGGATTATTCTCTGGTACCAGATATTGCTCTTAGTTTTGTAGCTCCTTCGAATATGCGCCACTCCCCTAATAACTCGTACGCTTTATACTGGAGATAGTCTTAATATACAGTAATTTATAGTGCGCATTACTTAAAAAATTAACAATATCTTGCTACTTTATGATTTCACATTTGAAAGTGAAAACGACAACGAAACAATAACCGTCAAATGACGTAACAATCAAATGATAAACCTATTCAAATATTTAAATAAAACGGTTTATTAAAAATGGTAACTCTTCAAAAATATATTCTACACTTAAAAATGGAGATAAATTTTAATTTTCGACAGGAATTTTGAATTTTTTTTAGTCTTTACGCACGTTTTTGGAGAGAGGAAAGGTTACCTGTTTCGATTACTATGGCTGAGGTTTCGTGAAATCTCGATTCAAATTACTTTCCATCGGCGAGAATTTTAGCAAAAAAAATTAATAATTTACAGCTTCTTACGTTAAAATAATTAAGAAATTCTTTAAAACAGTTAAAAATGTGTGTTTGAAAATGATAAACGTAACAAAATGACAATGGATTAAGAATAATTAGACAAGTGTCGTTGAGGATTATGGACTTAAACAAAAAAGCAACATATAAATTATATCCAAAGGCTTTAAATTTATAAAAATAAGATCAACACACAAAAAATACACATCGGCCTTAAAATTTAAATGCAGTTTGTTATCTTATACTTTTTTTTTTTGGCTAGTAAAGATAGGACATCGCTTATCTGCCTCATAATGCCAGATCTTTCGTGTAAATCTCGATTAAAATTATACAGCCTATAGGCTATAACAGGATAATTCCTTTGGAAGATAAATAGCAGGTTGGCATTAGATTAATGCTAAGAAACAAATTGGCTATAACAGGGTACGTTCCGATATTATAGTAAATTGCACTCTAATCAATCAATTTGCTTTGAACCGATCTCGTGCATAAATCTTCTAAATTTAATAGGTGGATGCAGTTTTAAACATTATATTAATAGGTTCGCATGTAAAGTTTCTAGAATTAGGTCTTTAACCTGGATTTATTTAATCTTATTGAACATAGTATGACAATAATTATATTCTTTCATCTATTATTCACTTGTTTGTTCGAGTGTAAAAGTTACAAAATATAAATTAGCCAATGTCGACCAAACTAAATTCTTTCATTTTAGAACCTTTATAAAACTGGAATTTCATGACTTCATCCTTTTCTATTACTATTCTTTACATAAAAATTTTTTATGCACAGTTTTCTGCATTCATTTTCTGCACCGAGTTACCCGAATTCTTTCCTAATGCACTAAACTGTCTGTATTCTTTCCTATTGCAGAATTGTTTTCATTCTTCTTTACTGCACAAAATTATCTGCAATTCTTTGCAGTAAAAAACCGAATTAGTGTACCGAATTATCATTAAAATTTTTAGTGCATAGAATTTCGCGTGACACAATTTTCTTTAATCTCTTTTATATTCAAACTTTATATTATATATATATATTTAGTTTTCACACAATTATTTGTATTATTTTTTTAGCACTTTCGCAATTCTCTCCACTCTTTTTCAGTACTCAAAATTTACAATTTTATGCGCTAGAAAAAAAGGTTTTCTATTGTAATATTAAATTCGAATTTAAAAGTGTAATATTCAAATTTGGGAATGTCTTACTGCGTCTTTCTTGAGGTATTTAGATTATAATTAAAAATATATTTGTAGAAAATAAAAGTAGATTTTTTTTTAATGTTTTAGGTCAAAATTTGGTTTCAAAATCGTCGAATGAAGTGGAGGAACTCTAAAGAGAGAGAACTTTTGTCGGCAGGAGGTTCGAGAGAACAGACCTTACCTACGAAACACAATCCTAATCCCGATCTTAGTGACGTCGGAACTTCAAATAAAATGCAGAAAACGGAGTGTGGAAGCTCGGACGAAGAACGAGAGATTAAAGTCCTTTAGGACTACAAACCACCGAAACTAAAAACAACCTTGTAAAGGACTATAAAAAAAAAAGGATTCTCGCCTTGAGACTAAAGTCGCAAAACACGTAAAAAGAGAAGGGGGTGACGAAAGAGACAACCATTATGCCAAAATGTGGACAATTCGTTGCTCATCGAGAAAACACTTTTTGTTTTTGATTTTTTTAATTCGCCAAAGATAAGAAAGATCTCTGTCATTCCAGAAATTGTATTTTAATCAACAATTTCGGGAAGACAAAAAAAAACAAAAAAAAAAAACCACACACAAGTAAAGAAAAAAAAAGCAATTTATGTTATCAAAGAAAACACCAGTACAAATTTAGTCTTCCAAGAGAAAAATCAGGAACAAAACAGGATATATATATAAGAAAAAAACTTTTCAAGGAACACAGTCTAGTATTTAACACCTGCTGAAAATTTAATTTCAAAACAGAAGGGGTTTTTTAAAGGTTATTTTCCATCTAAGAAGGTGAGGTAGTCGTTGAAGCGTAGACTAGACCAAGATTACGATAATTGTTGCTGTCAAGAAACGAAGTATGATTTTAAAAGCAATAACGGTACAAAATTACACGTTCTTTTTTTCGCCTCTCTGATTTCTTGTGAAAAGCAATATTCTTGATGGTATGTAGTGGAAGCTCACTTAACGATGTTGTATAGGGAGAAAGCAAACTTTCTCCAGGAGAAGTAGCTTCGCTGCAGACTGATGTTATTAACTGACTGCAATTTACATATATAATTACTTAGACTGGTGTAGCTAGTCGCTCTTGACATGTGCACGATTTTATATAGTTTCTTAAATAAATCTCCTGATACTGGAACTGATAGTTTTCTTTCTTTCTTTTTCCCCAACTTTTTAACAACGGAAATACATAAAAATCGAAGTTAACGAATTTAGCAAACAAAACAAAAATGATATTCGTTTAAAATCTTATCCAATTTCCTTTTTTTTTTTTATTTCTTTAAATTATACACACGCCATTAATCTAGATTTATTAGTTTTTATTGCGTTTTGAAGTATTGACTTTGATGTTTATAGCTCGATATTAAACTATTCATGAGCGTGTTGGTTTAAAATTGTTTTAGTGATCGTTTAAGCGGCAAAAATGGGATATTTTAGAATTACGGGGATAGTTTATAGCTTACAGATTCGATACGAGTTGTTTGAGATGTTTAAATGGCACGCAATTTTGTTGTATGCTCGATTTAAAAGAAGAGAAAGGTACTTAGTTTCTCTTACGTTTTATGTACATTTACGTGAGATCGAGTAATTTATTAAGTGATAAAATGCTTCTACAACGTAGAAGATGAAGCTTTTCGCCTCTAAAAATTGAAAAATATACTTTAAAATATAGAAATCTTATCGAAAATCAAGTTTCTGAACTGTTAAACAATGATTTTTATCGATTCAAAACTTAGAAAAATCCGATTTTTCAAACCTCATCTTGGCGCTATCGTATCATCTTGATAAATAAGTTATTTTGTAGGCAAACTATCAAAAATTTTTGGCTAAGATGATTATTTTCTCAGTGAAAAAATTGGAATTTCTTATTTAAATATCATTATCTTAATCGATATCTTCAATAATAGCTTCGGATGAGTCATCATCCATCAAAAATTATAAAAGCAAATTAGCGACTGAGAAAAGTACATTTTAAATTAACGTTAAATTATAATATTCATAATTAAATTAAGTTCTATAAAAATATAATCTTTAAATTATTTGAATCAAATTAATTGCACCAAATTCTTCATTTACATTTCTTAAAATTGTAATTACAAGTATTAATATATCCTATTTTATTTAAGTAAAACAAAAAGTATGTTTTAGTAAAGTTATTTTAAGTTTTATAAACAGTAACGATGGGAGAAAGTAAGGAGAGTTTTAAAAAAAAACCAGTCGAAACCCAATTTTACATTTTAACAGAGGGGAAAACCATTTAAGAAAATCTTGCATCCATTTTATAAACACACAAAGAAATTATTCATTTTGATAGTTCAGTCGATGAAAACTGTCTAAAATGTCTGACAGTATAGATATTTGCAAAATTATGAGATCGATATTCAACTATGATTGTGTATATAATTTACATAACGGATACGTCCTTAACTGGCGTCCCCCCTTTCGCACCATTCGAAGTCATTAGGTAGCCAGCTGAATGCAGTAAATAGATGGAAAAAGAATCTCGTGTTCAGAATCCGAGCCAGCATCCTCTTCAGACAATGGCAGGCAACTCCGCCTAGGATCTGCCATGAAAACATTAAGAGTGCGGTTCACGCTCAGCCGATGTCACCTGCACATGACAGGTATGAGACGGTCGTTATGACATCAGCCAGGGTGCCTACGATGCTCCAGTTGGTTCAGATTAAAAGACTTAGAATCCTCCTACGTCACGACTTTCGCAGTGATTCTGTATCCCACTTTTTTTATTATGTATATGCATATATATATATATATCCATCCGTACACGAGCGCTTATATTATACATATTTTTAAAAAAAAAAAACTACCCCTTTATAAGTCTATCGGGAGGTAAATCTTGGATTCCCCCCAGTATTTAATGACCGTCTCCTCCCCGGTCACGTGACTAGCGTCTAATGACACAAATCAATTTGGTGAATAATTGCACTAACGACATGTTCTTTTCATGCAGCGCCGCCTCATGAAAGGGAATATAGAACTGTACTTTGCTTGATTACTAACAATAATGATGTTGAAAAACTGTCCAACAAGAAAAGAAAAAGATTTTTATTTTCAAAAAAATAATAATAAGGAGTGTTCTTTTCCCCCCTTTTTTTTATATTATTATTATTTTTTTAATTATGGCGTGAACTGATTTTCCAAGGTAAATGTTGAACACACGAACTTGTTTCTTTACATTATTCATCTTGTTAAACAATACTAAGCAGTTTTTTTCCTCCCTCGTATTACTTTAATTATTTTAAACTTATAAATTCTTTAATATATTATTATTATTTTAATATTAAATTATATTTTAGTGACTAAATACTAATAAATTTTTTTAAAAATCATTTATCAAAATTAAAAAATTTCGCTTGATAGACGTCAGTGTTAGTCAATAAAAATAGTGTAATGATGCTCCCCTGGAGATTCTATAGAAGCTCTGAATTGTTAGTAATCAGAACTTTCTTCTAAAAAAAATATATCTTTTAGAGGCCCTCAAGAGTCTTTAGGGCCCCTTTAGAGGACATCCTTCTAAATTTGACTCATTTAATTGAAAATCTTTATCCGAGATGCTTATCTAAACAGGATATTAATGAATCCCTCTAAGTCGGACACGCTGGTGTGTCCGACTTAGGGAGGTTTACTGTAATCAGAATATTTGTATATGACATTTATTAATTCAAAAAATTAACTTTCTAAGGATATTCTTGCATTGAACTTTACGAATTTTTCTCCAAAAATTTAATTTTTTAGATAATTAGTATAAAATTCTATGATTAAAAGTATATATTTTTTATTATAAAAAGCAAAAAAGAGATTTTTATCCATTTTAAACGTTCATCTTTAGGATAATTATACCACATCGTTGGAGTTTGGAAGAGAGTGATAATGGTTTTTCAATGGATATCTTTATTTTTTAAGAGAATTTTTAAAGATTTTTTTTAGTTTGAATGATGGAACTGGCTAAGATATCTTGTACAATTTTGAAGTTAATTATTTGCATTGAATAATTACAGTAATTTTTGTTTGTTTTATGGAACTATTTTAAAAAATCTGTACTATATATACACATCTATTATTTAAATTTTTAAAAGTACTGTATTTAAAGAAATTTTAATACTTAATTAAACATTAAAAAATATTGGTCAGTTAGTGAAAAAGAACTGTTTAACCTATTAAAAATTTAACTAAAATTATTTAAAAATTAATTAATTAATTAATTAGTAATAAAAATTGTATGCTAATAAACATAAAGAATAAAAAATAATTTTTGTAGTAAGCATATAACGAAGACGTTTACAGACGTGGCTCCATCTGTTGATGGATATGTAAAATAACTTTACAAAATAATTCGTAAAATTTAATGAAGATTATAGAAAAATATATTACTATATAACTAAAATATTGTATTAAAATCATTTATAAAATTTACTAATTAAGCATGGGATTAAAATGTCAAATTTTAACTCAAACTTTATTTACATTTGTGAAAATGCTTGACAAGTTAACAAATAAAATTTTTTTCTTTTTTATTTTAAATTTCTGCCTTTATAAGTAGCGTTTATAAATGAGTGTGAAAGACTTACATTTGCTCTGGCATGTAACTTATACTGTGCCAAAAGTGTAAGTAGAAAGAGTAAATAAGCTACTGTTGAACCACGATATAACGGGATAACAGAAGAAAGCGTAATACGATAATGGATATACAGTATTCAGATATCATGATTAAACATAAAACGAACTTTATGTCAGGTATGATAAGGAAAACAACCTGGTTTGCGGTAATTAAGAAAGAAGCAAAGATACAATTCCTAATAAGGATGTAAACAAGAGCTGCCGAAGCGCTACGTAGTAGACATTTTATGCACTAGTAGACAAAATTTGATATTTCGGAAATGGATCCGTAAAACGTTATTTAGGTGTCCGTAAAATCAACGACCGATAGTACTTTATTAACGAGGAAAGTCGGAAATAGACAGATGACTTAGTTAAAATATGAAGAAAAAGCCGAAAATGGCATCCATTCATAATTTATATACTACTATGTTAATAATTATTCGGTATTTTGACGAATAAAATATAATTATATCGTAGCAGAAAGCAAAAAATAATTCAAAAATACACGTGAAAGATATCAAATGTACGAAAATTTGAAACTAAAAATAAATTTCCGTTTTAAATTTCTACTTTCTGCATTCAAGTGCAGCAACAGAATGCAAAAAAAAAAAAAAGAAAATATTTTCAATTTAGTTTTAGATTTCCTTTTGTCAGAGATAATTGACTGTAGTTTCTGATTAAAATTTAATTGCTGTTATCCGAACTTTTAATTAAATTAACATAACTAAAGTAAATGTAAATATTAATTATGTCTATTGTAAAAGTAAGAATTACTTAAAATTAAATAACAATAATTTGATTTAAATTAATTAATCAAAAAATTTCTCCAATTTTCTTATTTTTGATTAGTATTTACATTGGATTTGTAGTAGAATACTGTATAAATGAATTAAATATATTCAGACAGTTTATAAAATATAA